GATCTGACTAACTATTGATCTAGCTAACCATCGATCTAAATAACTAACTGATCATTGATCTAACTAATTTATAATTGATCTAACTATTGATCTAACTAACTAAACATTGATCTAACTAACTATTGATCTAACTAACAAAACATCAACCTAACTGATTATTGATCTAACTAATGAACTAAACATTGAACTAACTAAACATCGACCTAACTAACAAGTTATTGTTAGGTGTAACCAGCATTAGACATGTGACATTATGAAACAAAGTAACTATAGGTTTCTTAGTGTTATCTTATAGTTGTGAATGTTAAAAATTTTAAAAGTATGTGTTGTATGAATTCATTAAAATTAATTTATGAAAGTATTACATACTTGAAAGAGAGAGTTAATTACTTACAAATAGATAGCAAATATAAATAATTAAATAATTTTTTCAAAAGTTAAAAGATTATTAAATAATTTAAAGTTTTGTTGAAAACTAAACTGTTAATTTTGTTAGCGATTCTAATTATTATTTTGTAGTTTTTTTGTTTGCTTGAATTTTTGTACTAAGCTTTGATAAAACCCTTTGGAACAAGTATATTCCTCAGCTTTTTGTCCAAGGATTGACTTATTTACTATGCTTATTTACACATGAACATAAACTATATTTATGTTGTTCTTTACTACTGGAAGAATAGAAGGTGTTTTTGTGAGTCAGTTGCGACATGATTTTTCATTTTATGCTTTCCATGGAATAGAAATTTTTATGTCATGGTTTGTTTTTTTTTTAATATCGCGAATCTGTTTTGAAGAGATTCAGATTTCAGTTTAAAAATGTTGGGTAAGATACTCCAAAAAGCAATGTTTTTTTTTAACTTGAAGGATGTACTGATACTTATTTCTGAGGTTACACATTGGTAAATTTAAAAAATAACCTTTAAAGCAAGTTTTTTGTAACCAAAGGAAAACCAGAAAATTCTGTTGGTGTAAATCAGAGGCAGGGATAAAAAGAAATAATAATAATAAGAAAGGCAGGGAATGAATTAGATGAAAACCAGAGGAAAACATTGCTATTATAATCATGCTACACACACACACGGGGGAAGGCTCTTCTTGCAAAACACACACTTAAAAAAGCGGGGATTTACTACGCACCACAAACAACATAACCTGCTGTTTACTACAAGAAGAGTAAACAAACACTAGGAACCAACTCACAGCTCCTTTTCATGCAATTCCTCTCTCTGCTGGCAGGCCAGGGCTGCATCTCTGAAAACATATTGGAAATAAATCACAAGAAGCTCCATTCAGATGAAGCAAAGCGTTGTAAATATGAATTAATCATGTGTGAATGGCCAGCAAAGACGGGCCGTGTGTCTTCCTCACGCAAAGCAATGATTTGATGGAGCCAGCCTCTTCCTCTGAATAATACATGGATTGTTTTTGCTTGGGAGAGACACGAGGGAATCAGAACGCCAGGATGGTTCGAGTTGGGAGGGACATTGCACTTTTGGGGGCGTCTCCATCCAGGGAATTTCGAGGGAAAGCGAAGTGTTTATCCTGCTGGGAACCACGAGAGCGCAGCATTGCCCTTCGCTAGGCTGCTGCTCACAGGGAGAATGCGGGTTCCTTGTAGGTGAACGCAAATTACACAACCCACGAGGTGGAAAGTGGAAAGTCCTGCGCTTTCTTGACGGAATACAGGCCGTTGGTAGGGCGGGTTTTGGTTTATTTTTTTATGTTTTAATGTTTTTTGCTTTTACAGCTTAGCCCGTGTTCCCTGGTGGGGTAGATAGGAGGGGTGAAAATGAGCTTTATGAGCCGCACAGCTCTATTTTGTGTACATACTCTTAGGCTGACTTACTAAAGTGGGACTTTAATGGAGATTTCGGTGGGGAGGAGCACTCCCAGCTGTATGGAAAGTAGATGGGAATTAAAAAAAGTTAAAATCTGCTGATCTCTCAGCAGCTGAGTAGATGAAATGATGAAAACAATTTCTGAATTCTGGCATTAATGTGCCATGAGCTCCTCTAAGCTTTGTGGTTGCATCAAAGGGGTGAGGGAAACTCTAGAGGAGAATGCTGGCAGGGAAAGAGAATAGAATCACTGGAAATCCAGACTGGTAGGGTCATTAAATAACATATAACTCCTCCATCTCTGTCCCAGGCTTTTCAGAACCAGCAATGTTTCTGGCACATCTGTGTGTGGCGGTGAAGGAGTGAGTGACTTAGACCTGGGAGCTCTCCTGGATTGTTTTCCCAAGCCTCATATGTCCATCTTCTGCAGGTGTGGACATTTGACCCTGTCTGGGTGGCTGTAGACCTCAGTGTTGCGCTTCCTCAGTGCTTTTTGCCTGGCTGCTGCTCAAACTGTCTTGACCTACAAAACAATTTCCAGCTCCTTGCTAAACACAGCAAAGAACTGTCCATTGATCACTCCAATGTTTTCCAGTCCCCCATCTAGCCAAACTCTCTCTCTCTTTGGCACCACTTACCCCTCAGTAAACCTCAGCCAGCAGAAAAAAAAAAAAAAGTTTCCTTGTTTACAAAATAAAAAGAATGATTCTCTGCTTCAAAAGCCTGGGGACCTTGCTTACCCTCCAGCCTGGAGTGAGTTTTTATGGGCAGGTTTATAAAGTCCTGCACAGCCAGCTCTGTAGTGCTGACAGAGCTTTCAGGGCGGCTGCTTTAACACCTCTGCTCTGACAGCAGCAGCACTGTGGATCTCAGCAGAACAGACAGACGTTTTTGGCAATTGGCAGGCTCCTGTGTACTGCAGAGACCTTTATCTTGCTGAGGGAGTGGAGCCCTTTTAGTGTCTTGATGACGAGGGGGCAGGAAACAAGGCAAACCCACTCCAGCCCTGCCAAAGCTGCTGCTTTGCACTGAGTTTTTGAGGCAGAGATGTGGTACAGTGTGTAAGGGAGAAGTGTTGGGATGAGACTTGTTCTAGAGCTGTCACCAGCAGTGTTCTGTCACCGGTGTCACCACACAGGACCTGCAAACCCCTCAGTGTTCCCTGTGCCCGCTCTGGCATGTGCTCTTCTGCAGCCTTTGGTTCTTCCTTATCATAAATCCTGTAGGATTTAACTTCTACCTACTGATCCTTTTGACAGTAATGGACCATTAACTAACTAGACATAAAATTGGAAGTGTAAATCCCTCTGCCTTGGGGGAATTTGAAAGCAGGTTTAGGATGCAGGCCATGAAACGCAGGAGTTCATTGTAATGGCAAATGAGGCCTGATTAACTCTGCCTGCCTGGCACCCTGATCTGTGCCAGCTGATGAACAGGAGACCAGGAGCTGAGGCTGGTGCCACAGAACGTTTGCAATTGCCAGGGGAAAGCTTTTGGACTTGGTGTTGAGCTCCTTTATCCCATTGCCAGGGCCTTTCCTGTAGGACAGTGAGGGAGTCTGGGCTGCTGAGGAGTTATCCCCAGACACTGATGCTGCTCTGATTGGAAGTTTGGTGTTTTCCTTAGCTGGGAGAAGGAGAGAAGGGAAGGGCAAAGGTGAAGGTGTCTCTGCCCCTGGGGAACAGCACCAGGGAGAAGGATGAGGTGATGGAGCAGCTCTGCAGGTTGGTGTGCACCAAGTCCAGTCCCCAGCCCTCCCTGGGGCCTCGCAGGGCTCTGCTCTGAGTCTGTGGGAGTGAGTTTGCTCCTCTCCCTCTTTTCACTAGACCTTCAGATCAGTGCCCACTGATTAAAAAAGTTAATTACCTTCCTCCTGCAGAAATGACTCTGCTTTCAAGGTCTCCCAGGCCCTTAATTGAGCATCTTTCTTTGACAGAACTTTTGATTGAATTGCAGTGAGTCACCATCAGGGCCAGGATGGCCAGGTCAGACAAGGATGTCTTCAGGGAGCCAGCAGGGCTCTGCATGTGCTGAATGGAGTGGTCCCAAACTCCTCAGGAATAAGTGACTGCATCAGAGAGAAGAGAGGGAATCGGGTTCAAAAGCAGGGCTGGGTGGAATCTGCATTTCTGTGACCTCCTGGGAAGTGAAGTGCCTGGTGGCCAGTGGTCCCTGCACACCAGAGCCAGCTCCACCACCTCTGTGTGCTCCAGCGTTTTCCTCTGGATCCCATGGCCACGCTCCTGAGACGAGTGCCTGTGCCATTCATCACACCGGCAGCACGAGAGCAACTGGAAAAAGTGTCTGGAATTTATCACCGATGGCAGGAGCCTTTGTCTGTAATAAAAAACATTTTCTCCTTCCTCTCTTCTAGAGCTTTTCTCCTTCCCTTCTCTCATTATTATTATTATTAAGAAGCTTAATGCCATATGTCTTGCTGTTTCATAAATAACCCCTGTAATCAAACAGCACTGGGTAAATGGGCAGTCCAGCTTGTGCAATTTGTTTGACAAAATGAATCCAGAAGAATACGAGTCTGTGGAGGAAAGACAAATAGAGCAGCTTGGATGAATGTGTTAACCAAGAGAAAAAACGGCTTGGCAGAGCAGCTGATGCTATTTTTATCCATGCAAATGAAGTTTGGGGCTAATTTATTAAAAAAACAGTACAGAACTTGCCAGAATGGTCAGTGCCTCCTGGGATGGAGAGCAAGAAAGGTTCTCTGCCTCCTGAGGGCACAGCTAAGGAGGGAGTGAGATGCAGCCTGGAGGGTGCTTGAGCTACCAGGAGGAGGGCTGGGCCTGGAGCATCACCCAGGTGGCAGGAAGGGAGGAGAAATGCCCTGGGCTGGTGGTCCTGGCATCCGTTTGTCCATCCATCCATCCATCCATCCATCCATCCATCCATCCATCCATCCTCCCATCCTCAGACCACAGGGAGATCCCAGAGCTACCTGAGGCTCAGGAGAGCCAGCTCTGAGCTGGGTGTGACTGTGATAATCCCAGATAGCCTTTTTCCCCATTCTCGGTGTGTATGAGTATTCTTTTTGTAAGTGGCGAGCTGAATATTTTAAACAAAAATTTAGATCTGTGCCTTCCTGAACAGCTGGGCTGCTGCTCCCTGTGCCCTTCTCAAGACATACGTGAATATCCATGTGAACTTCCAGTTCCTGCAAGGCTGTCTCTGCAGTCTCTTCCATGGAAATCCATCCCAGGAGACAGTGAGAGCCTGTCTCAGCCTGGGAGGTGCTGCAGCCTAGAGAAATCCTTCATTCTGCAGCCTCTTCCTCACCATCAGGCGGCAATACAGGCTCTGGTGCCTGCCCGGGCTGGGAAGTGCGGATGAAGGGAAGCAATTTTCATTGAGGAGAAGTATCTCGGCTGCTGCTCCCTGCAACTCACCTTTTGTGGACCTGCCCTGTGGCCAAGGCAGCTGAAAAGCTGAATTTTTAATCAAAGCAACGAATTTATTTCTAGGGAAGTAGAGATTGTGTAGAGGGGGATGTTTCCATCCTCCTCACCTCCTTCCTCCTCTCGGAACACCTGAGTTATCTTTGCTCTGGCTTTGCAAGCACAACATTGTCCTGTGGGATGATGTGCACACGGGGATGCAGGGGACAGAAGCAGAGGCTGGGCCTGAGCTGTGCGCTGGAGAGAGGCAAAGCTGCAGTGCAGTGTTGGACTGCACATCCACAGCCAGGGATGCTGGCTCATTAGTGGAGGAAACACCTCTCTCCTTCCTGGCTGCTTCCCTCCCACTCCTCCAAGTGGGAACGCAGCCCCCATTCCTTTTTCCCCATTCCTGGTGTGTATGAGTATTCTTTTTTAAGTGGCAAGCTGAATATTTTAAACAAACACTGCTTAAAATCTATAATTTATGGGCAAGGCTTCAGAAGAGGAGATCAGTCATTTCTTGGTGCTGAGGGTGTCTCCATCTGCAGCAGCCCCCACTACTCTGTTCCCAGCTAACTGGTGCAGCATAAGGGATTAGGCTTGAGCATGGCAGCACTGAGCAGCACCCAGAAAATCCCCAGCTCTGAATGAAGAAAAACCAAAATTCTTTTGCAGGAAGGAACAGCTCCAAGCCCTCCTGCTGGCCCACCTGGAACCACTGCCTGGGCCCCACATTTGGCCCAGAGCTGGGCTACCTGGCACAGGTATTGGAATGGTGCTAGGAATCTGCAGCCCCCCTTCAGCTCCCACCTCACCCCTTACCTAAAACCTGAGGGAGCCAGGGTACAGGTGAGCAGTGTGAGCTCCCAAAGCTGGCAGGTCAGACATGAAGAGAAGCTGAATCAGGATCTGAACTGGAGCAGTGGGAGACCCCAGGTCACTGGGAGAAGACCCTCCCTCTGTTGTCCTTCTCCTCTCTGTGCCCCTCCACGTTCACCAAGCTGAGCTGCATGAGGGAGAATTCCAGGCTTGTTCGTTAATGGGAGCACAGAGACTTTTGCTTCAATTAATTAATTTGCTGCTCTTCCCCATTTTCAGGGCCATCTTTTATTCATGGCCAAGTAGCTCAGACACCGCTGCTTGCTGCCTGTTCAGGATGCTGGCATTAATATTTCATCCCAGAGCCTGCTTGTGCTGAACAGAGCTCATGTCCCACGTTCCTGCCTCTTCCTGGTGTTCTCCTGCCCTGGCCCAGTTCATATTCCCCCTTCCAGCACCAGGCTGGGTCTACTTGTCTCTTCACCATGGATTCTCCTAGGATCCAATTCCCTGGGAATTAAGTGTGGCTCACTTGGAGTTCACTGCCTTTGTCTCCTGTGGCTCTGGGCAATCAGAGGGTTTTGTGCTCACTGTGGCAATAATGGGCTCTGGGAGCAACTTGTGATATCAAGCAGCAGGGAGAGGGGAGTGACTCTCGTGCTGCTGTCCCCTCCCAGGAAAGCAGGATATGTATTTCAGTTGCCACAGGAGCAGTGTGGTGCTGGGGCTGTAACCTGGGAGAAAAGAAGGCTGCTGAAGAAGAAAACCTGGCCTGTGCCTTTCAGGGCAGCAGCAGAAATGAGGAAATGACACTCTCCTGCTTCTTCACCTCTCTCCTGGCTCCTGTGTCTGCACTTTCCAGCATTCCTTAGTTCTGCAGAGCTCCAAGGCCGGGAGCAGCCTTTGCCTGCAGCTCTGCAGCCCCAGCAAGGCACCGTGCCTGAAGGAGGGCAGGCCACAGTGCAGCTGTCTGGAGTGGCACTTCATTTACTGAATGGCAGCTCCATAATCCTCTTCAAATAAAAAGACTGTGGAGTCTCTGTACTGGGAGCTGATGGAAGGCTTTGCTCTCAGGCAGGTGGCACTAAGGGAGTATCTCCTTTCTGCATGGAGGAGTTCCTGGGTTTTGCCTGGGCTTTGTTATTTGATTATTTGTTCTCTCATTTGTCACTGGGGCTAGTGGATATGATTCATTCTCCCTGATTAAGGCACTTGTTTTGGCAGGGAAGCATTTCCCAGGTCTCATGGGGTGGGATGAGAGGCCTTGCAAGGCACAATCTGTGCCTTTCCCTCTTCATTCCTGGTACATCTTCTACCTCTTCAAGAACAAAACAGCACAGCAGCTGATGAAATGTCCAGCCCCAGCCCTCTGGCTCAGGCTGCAGAGCCACCAAACCAAAGCATCACCTTAAAAGAGGTCTCCAGACCGGATTGGGAAAAATGTGGAGTTGGGAGGAAAGGGTGGAATTGTTGGAGAACACATGGACATGCCTGTGCATCCAGAGGCGTAGTGGGGACACATTCAATGGAAGGAATGTGACTGCAGGATGCAGGATGTGGAGGCTGCAAGCGGCAGAATTTCCACAGCCTCATTAAACTCTCATGTCCAAATTAAATGTCAGATTTGCATATTGGTTCTGTGTTTTCAGGCCCGTTATGCAGCAGCTGGGAGGAAGCTGATCAAGGGTGGGGATGCTGAGGGCATCCAGATTGCAGCCTCACTCCTGAGAGCCCTGCAAAGCCAAGCACCTGAAATTCTAGGGGGAACTCGGGATTAAATTTTGTTTTGCAAGAGTCAGGGCTCTGTGCCTCAGTTCCTGCAGGCAGAAGGGAGAACTGCATGGGGTGGGCAGTGTTGTGCTGTCCAGGTTCCCAATGCACCTTTGGTGGGTTTTTCACTTTCCCCCTTTCTTTCACAAGGCAGAGGAAGGGCAAAGCACGACCTGGGCTCTCGTTGTAGAGTTTCACCTCTGGGAAGCCCTTCACAATTTTCCTCAGGCTAGGTTCCAGTCAGATCATATTCTAATCCAGGTTTAATTACCTGTGAGGACAGACAAGCCTCTTTCTTGCCTCTTGGGAAGCCCAACCAGCAGGCTAGCATTGGGAATTGGGACAAAGCCAAACTACAGTCCAGGTTGGTGACCTCTGATTTGCACAGGAATGTCCATTGTGGCTAGAGGCAGACAGGGACTCAACTAAGAGCACTGAGAAGCAGTGATCCAGCACCTGAGAGAGACACATCCCTGCATGTCGATAATGAGAGTTTTCTCTGGCTTTGTAGTGAAATGCTCATTATCCATGGAGAGCCCTGCCAGTGTTTTGGCTGCAGATCCACGGGTGGCAGCAGCAGGAAGGTGCTTCCCAACAGCATACTGGAGAAGCTAAAAACAGGAAAAGATTCCTGGTCACACTGTTGGGTTCTGCTCCAATATCCCTGCTGGGACCTGAAGGAGCCATGCAGCCCATATGCTGCAGTCCCTGGAAAGAGATGGGAAGCAAGGAGCGAGAATGAGGTCTCTGTTGCTCTGGGAAGCCTGTGCCTGCTGCCCTGCACAGCTGTGAGGCATGTCACATCCCTGACGGGCCAGATGCTGAAAGATGCTGAACATCCTTAGAAGGTCAAACTCAGAAGGCAGAAAAGCCTCCTGGCAAATTCTGGGACACAGCAGTGACGGGGCCTGCACGACAGGAGACACCCGGGAGGCAGAGCAGCTCTGAGTCAGCTGTCTCCAGAGAAAGATTTGTCAGTGGCTGGGCCAGTTTTCACCAGCTCCACAGCTGGTGGCAGTTTCTGCACTTCATTCAACAAGCATCTTGTGTGGCTGACATGCTGCTCCCTGGAGGGGAGCCAGGGGATGAGACCCCCCTTTCTCACTGGGGCTTTATCCAAGCACTCTTTGCACTGCAGCACCATTTCCACAGGAGGAAAAGGGGCCCAGCATCAGGGGAGAGCCTGCAGGCCTGGGCTGGGGAAGTTGAGGGTCTGAACCATCTTCTCTGGCCACCTTCCTGCTGCCTGCCTGTGAGCCCTGGCTCTGAGGGCAGCCCACCACCTTAGGGCAGGCTCTGGGCAGGTAAGGACAGAATACTTCCAGGGGAGATGCTCCAGATTTA